TCTGATATTTAAAAGAGATATTTCTTTTGGTGAAATAATAAAAGTTGAAAATAATAAAGAAAAATCAGATATGCATTATATTCTCTTTTAATTTGCTTTGATTCTAGAGTTATGCATCTCATCGAAATTATTTAGCTGATAGTGCCATTAAATTCTATTTATACTCATGTGTCCAATACTCTATTGCCAACTCAGCAATGTGAGTACGTCATCCGTGTGTTAATTCGATTAACACACGTTTCAAATTAAAACTTCAAATTATCAGAACCAGTCTCAACGAGAGTCTATTAATGGTATACATTTAAAAAATAATTATTTTTCTTCGTGAAATAACGTTAGAATTGTTTTTCTTCTTTCAAATAATTCCTAATACATGTTGTAGTTTATTGTTTTTTTTTCTTACAATAATGCCTCCGTGTTATAATTTGTCACAATTCGTCACCTGTTTATAATATAATGCATTTTCTAAAAACGAATATTAGTCTGGTTCCTTCAAGGATTCGAAAAAAAAGTAATAATTCCTAATCCTACAAGGATTTATAAAGAAATTCCGTTTTCCACAAGGAACCGACTAAATTGTTGTTTAGACATGAGATATGTGTATAAACACTTATATATTACATACGAGAAACCCAAACTGCTCTCTCGCTGGATGAAGGTTTTTTGGCTATTCTTATTCACAATGACTAACGCTAAAGACATTCATATGATCCTCGGAATTATTGGTACGATCTCTCTCTCTCTCTTTTACAATCTATATGCTTATGTATATGGTAATTGTCGTAGTAGTCGTGCTTCCGTTCATATCTACACACACTAGTGATCTCTTCAGGGATCTCTTTAGGTCTAGAAATTCGGGATCTTTCTTCAAACCATCTTTATAATAAATTCTAGTTAATTCTATTTCATTCGGGTGGACAAAATCTGTTCTATTTGGATTTAGTTTGGTATAAGAATTATATACCAATGGGGTTATAATATATAAAGTTTCGTGTGGATTTAGAATAATAAATTCGATTTTGTTCAACCTATTTTATGTTTTTTTCACCCAGCCCTAAATCTCTATGTAAACGTCGTTAATGATCGATGTT